TTTTTATATATTTATTTACAAAAGAATGAATAATATTAAAATAAAAAATTATATTAATTTGAATCATTGAGTGGTCAAGCCAAAATATTATTTTAATTATTTAATTTAAAATAAGTTAATTTTAAAATATTAAAAAACAAACAAATAAATAGTAAATGCTTAGTGTAGTAGTAGTTGCACAGTTGATTTCTAAAAAAATAAAGATTCAATGTTTTTTTATACGTCATAACTACACTAAGCAAGTTTAGAGTTTTTAATCTAAAACAAAAAATGCATAAAATGTTAACTTGCAAGGATATATTGACTAAATTCGAAGTTAATAGACTAAAATAAAAATTATTACAAATTTGATTTCGAATAATTTTGATTATATAAAGAAGAAATAAATTAATAAAATATGTGAATTTTTTTTCCTCCTTCCTAAAATTTTTTTTATTTTTATGTTGTACATGGCTAGTCCTTGAATATAGGCCTCACGTATAGAGCAAGCATCTTCTTTTTATTTTTTACATTTGACTTTCAACTATTAATTAATTAATTTGAGTTTTTTTCTAAACAAAATCGAGGAAAAATTATTTGAAATACATTTTTAATATAAAAATATAATTTAGAAAAATTATATATATTAATCATACCACCATAATTTAAAAGTTATCTAAATCTATTTTTCAAAAGAAAAACTAATCATATTCTAAAAATTTATTCCAAAATCTATACATATAAAAAAATAAATCAAAACCATAAGTAAATATAATTTTAAATTAATTGGATGATAATTTTTTTTAAAATGACAAATTAAAGTAATAAATTTTAAATAATAAAAATAATTAAAAAAAATACTAAAACAAAATGCGAAGAAATCACAATATAATCAAAGTTTGAATTTTTTTTTTAAAAAAGAGAGAATTAAAAAAATAACAAATTAATGTAGCAAAGTTTAAATAAAAAAATTGAGAAAAAATTATTTGAAAAACACTTTTTATCCAAAAATGTATTTCAAAAAAACTATATATATATATCATGCCACTATAATTTAAAAAGTATCTAAATCTATTTTTCAAAAAAAATAATAATCATGTTGTAAAAATTTATTCAAAAATCTATACATATAGAAAAATAAATCAAAACCGTCAATATATATAATTTTAAATTAATTAGATGAGAATTTTTTAAAAAAATATCAAATTAAAGCGGTAAATTTTAAATAATAAAAATAATTAACAAAAAATGCTAAAAAAATGGAATGAAATCGCAATTTAATCAAAGTTTGAAATTGAAAAAAAAAGAGAAGATAATTTTTTTTAAAAATGACAAATTAATGTAGTAAATTTTAAATAATATAAAAAAAGTAAAAAAATTATTTGAAATACATTTTTAATCTAAAAATGTATTTTAGATAAATTATATATATTAATCATGCCACTATAATTTAAAAATGTTCTAAATCTATTTTTCAAAAGAAAAAATAATCATATTCTAAAAATTTATTACAAAAGCCATAGATATAGAAAAATAATTCAAAACTATTAGTAAATATAATTTTAAATTAATCGAATGAGAATTTAAAAAAATGACAAATTAAAATAGTAAATTTTAAATAATAAAAATAATTAAAAAAATAATAAAATAAAATGGGATCAAATCACAATATAATTAAATTTTGAAATTAAAAAAAAAAGAGAATTTAAAAAAAATGACAAATTAAAATTTTCAATTTTCAATAATAAAAATAATTAACAAATTAAAGTTTGAAATTAAAAAAAAAAGAGAATTTAGAAAATGAAAAATTAAAGTAGTAAATTTTAAATAATAAAAATAATTAACGAGAAAACTCTAAAACAAAATGGGATCAAATCATAATACAGTTAAAGTTTGAAATTAAAAAAAAAAGTTTAGAAGATGTGAGGACCAAAGTGTTAAAAAAAAGATATGAATAGTTAAAGGAATAGTGATTTGTGAGTGTGTGAATAGTATTTCAAATATTAAAACTATGTTTTACTTTAGTTTGTTTTATAATATGAAATTTATATATTTTCATATAAAATAAGATTGATACTTCTAATTAATGATATAAAAAAAATAATTTCGGAACCATTGACGAGTTGCTTTCACTATAAATAATGGAGGTCGTTAATAAGTCATAAATTATTAGGAGTGTTCGTTTGGTTATTTGATTTGATTTTGAAATATTTCGGACATTTTTCGATTAACTAAATTTTCAAAAAAATTAATCGAAACCGAAATGTTATTCGTTTTTAGGTTTGATTTCGAAATATTTCAATTTTAATATTCGATAATTCGATTTTTATCTATTTTATTTTGTTTTATTTTTTTATACAAATAGTTGATTCTATTAAAGTTTTCAAGATCTCTAGTTAGAGTGAGTTTCTTTTGTACTTTGTGGACTACTGGATAGGAAACTAAGTTGCATCCAAAAAAAATAACAAAGGCATTGTTAGATAAACAAATAATACAAAAAGGCTTGAATTTAAGACAATAGGAAACCTATCAATGTGTCGGTTATTTTGTGTACATCCATACTTATAGTAGAGATAAAAAGAATACGTACGACATCGTAGGAGGAAATGCATACGGTGGAAAATGGTTTTTCAATTTAGAAATAATGGATGTAGTGAGTGATATATATTAAAAATTTTGGTTTTTTGGTTTTACGGATTTTTTTTTATAAAAAAATCCGAATCCGAAAACTAAAATTATATTGATTCATTTTTTTATTTAAAAAAAACGTATTAAAATTGACATTTCAATACGATTTGATTCGATTTTTCGATTTTTATGAAATAGCAAATACTTTTATTCATAATACAGCAGTTGTAGTTCACGATTATCTTCTACGACTTCGAGAGATATTGAAGTTCTTGACTCTGAAAGAATTTCACGAGTTTTGGGAAATTAAATGGACAAATTAATAAACATAGATATCATTTATAATTAAGTTTTACACATGTCACGCCCTCCAAACACCAAGGTTCTACCCAAACAAAACTAATACCCAAAAAGCTTAGGGCCGAAGAAGCTGGCCTAACGACCTTACCCAGCAACAGCCCACGTGTATTCCAAGGGATTATAAAACAAGAAGCTACTTCCGGATTTTCTGGCTTTTGGACTTGATTTTTCCATAAATACTCTATAATTTTGGTATTTGTTCATGACATTTTTTTATAATAAGTTTATGAAAGAATTTCACACTGTTTCAAATAATGCTAATTTTACAAATGATTTAATCAAAAAACTATATCCATTGAACGAGTAGATTGCACTACTGGTACCCAAAAAAAAAAAAAAGAAAGAAAGAAAAAAAACAAAGGTGCAAGCCCTTGAAGTGCTCTAAGTTTCACGTGCAAAGAGTATGAATATTTGTATAATGTATTACAATTTGTCAGTTGTTTTATTGTAAACGCCAGAGACTATGCCTTCTGTCTCCATTTACTAAATCTTCCTTTGATGTGTGTGCATTAATTTGATTCTTCTCTTACCTTGTCACATACATTTTGCCAGTGCAGGTACGGACGTCTTCTGACGCAATATATGAGCCAACCAATTATATTTACAATTAATTATCTTCTTCTTCTTTGTCAAGTCTCCTGGCCGGATGCATAATGCTATAATAACTTTGGTAGGCCTCCAGAAGACTAGAATGTTCCTTTTGCCATAACTTATTATTGCTATCAAATCATTTCAAGTAGAAACATTGAATTTGATAAAGATCGTTGCTTTGGATAACATATCTTGTAAATAAATTTTCGATTTGGATTTTGTGAGGCACAATGGCGTTGCCACGGGACGAATTGGATGTTAGGAAACATGTGTATAAATTAGTGTATTTTCCAATAAGTTGTTTCTTTTAAAAAATTATTGTTTGCAAAAATAATTAACCAAATTATGGAACTCATTTAAGAACAAAATTCCTTATGCCGTCTGCTTAGATGCACAACTCTCCTTAACAAGGAATGATTAAATCTTGTCTGGCAACAAATGGAGAAGTATATAAAAATATACAAATAAAAGATAGAGGAAATCAAAGAAACCAGATCAGAGAAAGATATGGAAATATTGTCTTGATAATATGTTGTCCTATTCTTTAATGTACAATTTGGCTTATAGCGGACATAGAGACAGAAAACCAGAACTCCATGGGCCTACAGTAGCCGGTGTCATCTCCCTTAGACACAGCCTGTTCTGTTCAAGCTTTCATGTCGGACTCCCTCTTGCTTCATACAACTTGTTTGAGCATGGCAATTGGCATTTACAATCCATCAGGTTCTAAGTCTAAGGGTTTTCCTGGATTACCTTTCTACAAACAAGTAACCCTTACGAAGTCATACAGTAACCACCTTAATTACGACTATTCAAAACATGTCGGCTGGTGATTTTTACTACATTTTGTAAGCATTTCGTTGACAAGGTTTAATTACATATAGACCAACGAGGAGATGAATCCAATGACAAGCACCTTCTTTTTTCTTGCTAGTTTATTCGAACACTTGATGGAGTTTCGACTACACAACGAGAGTTCTCTCTGTACCCTTTAATCTAAAAAAATAAGGGAACTTTCATACATTGACTCTACTACAGTATTGATGAACCACAGAAAGAAGAAAATCTAGAAGGGTTGTAGAAAAAAAATGAGCAAAAGAAAAAGAACACAATCACATGTTAGATTATACATAGTGAGGTAGTAAAAAGATTTAAAATGAATCCAGCTGAACCCAAGTGAAGGAGTCAACCCAGTTAGAACAGAGTAAGCCAGCTAACCCTGTGATTTTAAATTACTGTTATTGAATTAACTGCCTGTACTTTTCAGTCAGACAGTTCCCCTTTGACTTATACCTGTCTGAATCTCAACTCCTCCATTGAAAAAAAAAAAAAAAAGGCTAAAACTCCCACACCCCTCCCTTCACAAAAGAGCCCCAAATCAGCATTTCTTAGCTCATGAGATATCCACACTTGGTTATCGAAGAACCCATTAATAAGTAGACATGGTAATCCAAAGATGTCTGCCTGGCTCAGTCATTATCATTCTTAGTTTTGTGATTCTAGTAATGTTGCCCATCGCTGCATTGGGGTATGGATCATCTGGTCCAATAGCAGGTGCATTCGGCGAAAATGGGTTCTTTTGTGCTATTGATGCTGGTGGAAAGCAAGAAATCATATGTTGGGACAAAGATGACAACTTTTCGGTTTCAACATCAACAGCATATTTCAGCTCTCTACCAGCAATGGCCTCTCTCTCTGGTGGCGAGGAGTTTATTTGCGGAATCGCATCTAACAATTCTCAAGCATTTTGCTTTAACCTATCGAATCCGGGTAAAAATCTTGTCCCAAAAAGTTTCCAATACAATTCTTATTCACAAATTGCTTCAGGCAAATATCATGCTTGTGCTATTAAAGGATCTTACTTTTCGAGTGTACGGTATGGAACTGTAGATTGTTGGGAGTTTAATCAAACTTCATTTGATTCGTTTCACAATTCTTATATTGATCTTGTTTTCAGAAGGATTGTTTCTGGTGATGGGTTTAGTTGTGGGGTTATCAAGGAAGGTGGTGTGGTTTGTTGGGGACCCAGATCAGCTCATATTGGTGTCCCAGCTGTTTCTGGTGAATTTGAGATTTTAGCCTCAGGGAGGGATTCTGTTTGTGGTGTTTCTAATGTGTCTAGCGAAGTAGAATGCTGGGGTGATTGTAATGAGTTTGGTGCTCTGCCGGTTGGAATTCGATTTGTCAGTTTATCGGCGGGTGCAAGCCACTTTTGTGGGGTTCGCGAGGATAATCATGAAGTTGAATGTTGGGGGAATATTGATCTAGCTTCGGTTCCAAATGGTTCAGGATTTATGGCTATCGCTTCATCAGATTATGCTACTTGTGGGGTTAGAGAAGTTGACTTAGTTCTCGATTGCTGGGGTGTTCATGGGAAGTCCGTGCCAGATTATAGCCCCCCTTTGCAGTTGTGTAGTCCTGGTATGTGTTGGCCCAGTTCGTGTGGTCATGGAAAGTTTGCATTTAATGCAAGCCTTCTCAATGAACCAGAATTGACTAATTTATGTGTCAGGAAGGACTTGAAAATTTGCTTGCCTTGTGGGACAAATTGTTCCAAAGGTTATTTCCCTTCTACTACTTGTAGTGAGAATGCTGATAGAATCTGCACTGCTTGCTCTCTTTGCCAGAACAGCTCCTGCTGGGATGTTTGCGGACTTCATTCTTCACCAGGGATTAAACTGCAGGAGCAAGACATAAAGAAATTAGTGATCATCATTGGCTCTTCGGTGTCAGGCTCCATACTAATTTTATTAGTGTGGTGTTGTATTCCCCGGATTTTCAAAACGAAAGACGATGATAAAATAAAATACCAGAGCAGTTTTTGCACAGGCAAGCAAGTGGTGGAGGCCGAGCCTGACCCCAATCCAGAGCCCCCTCTCTCGATAAGCATGTGCATAGGTGAGACGCAAGTATTCCGGCTTTCAGAATTGAAAGATGCGACACATGGATTCAAGGAGTTCAGTGAGCTTGGCAGAGGAAGCTTTGGTTTTGTTTACAAGGCTATTCTGACAGATGGTAGGCAAGTAGCTGTCAAGAGGGCTAATGCTGCCACTATAATTCACACAAACAAACGAGAATTTGAAGCAGAATTAGAAATTTTATGCACTGTAAGGCATAGTTATATTGTGAACTTGTTGGGTTATTGCGCTGAAATGGGGGAAAGATTACTAGTTTATGAGTATATGCCTCATGGCACACTTCATGACCATCTCCATGGGGAACTCTCTCCTTTGGATTGGAACTTGAGGTTGAAGTTATCTTTGCAGGCTGCAAGAGGACTTGAGTACCTTCACAATGAAGTTACACCACCCGTAGTTCATCGAGATGTGAAGACTTCAAATATTCTGCTTGACTCCGAGTGGGTAGCAAGAATTGCAGATTTTGGGATTGTAAGTGCTAATGACAGAGATCTAAATGGAGATATAGAAGGTGATGTATATAATTTTGGCATTGTTCTGCTGGAGATGTTAAGTGGAAGGAAAGCATACGATAGAGATTGTGAAGCTCCAGGCATTGTTGAATGGGCATTGCCTTTAATAAGGAGGGGAAAGGCAGCTGCCATTGTCGATCGGAATGTGCCTCTGCCCAGAAATGTGGAACCACTGCTTAAACTTGCAGATGTAGCCGAGCTTATTTTGAGAGAAAATCCCAGGGAGCGTCCCAGCATGTGTTATGTGGGAAATTTGTTGGATCAGATTGTGAAAATTGGATTGATATTCTAATCAAATTCATTCATAAATCAAGAACTTTGCGATGAACATTTTCACTGAGCACGTACTTGTCTATTGTAGTGAATCTTTGTTGCAAACTATGTGTTTTATATGTCTAATTCATTCTCTTTTTCACAAAGTGAAGGAGATGGCTATTGTTGTCGTAAGATTTTGCAATTTTCCATCCATTAAAAAGTTCTTTGATGGTTTCTGATGTCGTAAGATTTCCCACCATTTTACCCGGTTTTTATTTTGTTTTAATCCCACGTACTACATGTAAAATTCACATAGACAACGCATTTTTTGTTAAAAATCTCTTCTACTATCTGTTCAAATCACCCAGAAATCAAAAGCTGTTGCTGTCTGAAGACAAGAACAGGTTTGCATCTTGTACATAGGCGCATTGATTAAGTAATTAGTGGTGGAATTTTGGAGTTGATGGAGAGCTCAAAATAGGGATGGTAATGGTGCGGGGCGGAGCTGGCTAAAAATTTTTGCCTCATGCGTGCCCCATGTGCTAAATAAGATAAAATTTTTCATATCATTCTCGTGCCAAACGGAGACAGAGATCCCCACGGGATACTAACAGGATAAACAAGATAAAAATTATCATTTTTTTTTGTTTTGTCTTATCTTATTTTATTATTAAATTTCAAACTATAACAAAAAAAATATAATTTATATAAAAAATAAATTCTAAAAATTACTAACCACATATTTTATATAACGCATAATTATAATAAAAAAATATTTAAAAGTAAACAAGACGTGATAGGTAAATACCATCCTCGTACTATTCCATTCCCCTATCAATGCCCCTATCAATGCGGGACAAATTGCCACAAATTGCAATCTCTAGTCCAGAGGGATGTTTACATCCAGTAGACTTTCTTGTGTTGTCTAAGAAAACGTGAACAGCAGGATTCGAACCTGCGCCGGGAGAGCCCAAATGGTTTCTAATCATGCCCGATAATCGCTCCGGCGTGTCCACTTGTGCAAGAAAATAATGCGTCTTTCTGTGTCGAACAATCTTGATATCAATTAACATAACTAAAAAGTTAAAAAACGTGAACAGCAGGATTCGAACCTGCGCGGGCAGAGCCCACATGATTTCTAGTCATGCCCGATAACCACTCCGGCATGTCCACCGGATAACAGATGTTATAATATTTATTCACTTATACTTTTGCATATAAATAAGTTTTCCTTTCAAGTTTTTAGCATAAAACGACAAATAAAGGCTCATTTCATGTGACACTTTTCTTTTTCTCTCTCTGCTTCTGAACTTATAACGCGAGCCGTAAAGGAGCCCATTACTGGAAGAGTTTGGTACTACAGCTATGCGTATTAAGCCTTTTATTTTTTTGGTACAAATCTTTGAGAATTGGGTCGCTCGTGAAAGTAAGAGCCCGAAAGAGATGTCCGAACAAGGGGCAGGTTATGCTGTCCTGAAGAGGGAAATCATAACCTGCTAAAGCTTAATGTTTGTGGGCTTCGAGTTTCTGTTTGGTCGCAAAACTGAATAGTTCTTAAAATGGGTGCATGGTTTCTGGCTTTCGGTTCCTAAACAGCAATAACATTTTGCTTCTTGTTGCTGCAGCTGCTGTGCTGAATCTAATGCTTGTTAGGGTTGGGAACCGCAACACCAAACCACAAGAACCAGGGAGGAGAAGTAGTTGAAGTATTACTTCTGTTGACCCAACATTGTAATCATTAAAGCTTAATGATTGCTCTTTCTCTTTTAAGCGATTAATTTTTGAAACACAAATTCTTTTGTCCATGCGTTGAGAACACCTTTTCTTCTCGAACCCATCAACGAAAAAAAAATTCTAATTTTTGAATTTGAATAGATAATTTTTACATGATCCGTTGATTCTTGAATTCTTGGAGCTTCCATATTCGTACAGTTCTGGAAGACTAGACTGCCATTTCTTTCTCTCTTTCTGGTGGAAAGAAAACAAATGACTACATCCATATAAAGTTTAAAGGTTAATTACACGCATGTATGAATATGAAAGGTCGAAGAATTCAAGAACCAATGGACATTTCAAGATCCCTATCGTTTTCTTCATGGGGCTATCTATCAATTGACACTTCCTTTTCACCTTTTGTCTCAAAGTTTTTTCACCAATATATTATTGAACGTTATCTTTAAATTCAAATTCTGAAATTCAACCACAATATCAAGAGGGAGCAAAAGATCATGGATGTGCTTGCTTTCTTGTTAACTCTCTATTTTTTTCTTCTCTAATTGCACTCAAAACCAATGATAAATTTAGTAACACGGATGCTCATCTTGTTCCATTCCTTAATTACATAGGAGAATTTAACATTTAAAATGAATAAATTATTGAGTTTAAAATTAATGGCAAAATTAGGAACATGAATTCTCATATTTCCTTCATTTCATGAGAAGGTTGGACCAAAAATTCTCAAGTTTTCTATAGTTTATACGTGAATAAAAAATTAAAAAGTTAATGAGTTTTTGTATCACATTGTATTGTCAAAAACATCAAGCCTATTGCTTAATTGGAAAAAAAAAAATGGAGATGATAACATTCAACTTTATAACCATTTGATCACCAAAAAAATTAAAACTGATATAATAAAAAATTATTTTAATTTAAAAATTTAACTGTTATGTGAAATTTAAAATATAATTTATATTATTTTTTAAATATTACAATCTCATTTTTCTTTGCAATCAAACACACACAGCAAAGACAACGAATTTATTTTGCCACGAGATGACTAGAATGTCTGCCTAGCGACAACAATTTCGTTTTTTAGCGATGATGATGCCTCCCTGAATGAGTGACATGCAGGGCTTCAAGTGAATTTCATGTCCATGTATATGTTGTTGTTATGAAATGGAATTGTCATATATAGCTAGAGTAATATAAAATTATTTTTGAAGTCTCACTAAGTGATATATTAAATTTTTAAATGAAAATAATTTTTTTATTGATATGATATTAAAATTTTGATAATTAACTAAATAATTATGATTTTGAATCTCATCATTTTTGTTTTTTTTTTTTAACTTAAATAAGTAAATTTTAAATTCACAAAACTTTTATTTCTGAGAAACTGTGTAGAATAATGTAAAATTTTTTTTAAAGACTCGCTCAATAGTTTAACATGATTCTTGGAGGTAGGGTCTATGCTCTACACTTTGCTCACCGTCCTTTGGCCCCATCATTTAGTTTCTTTTCTTCTTTTTTCGATAACCCTTTTTCCTTTTGAACCTTTGTCGCCACCAAACTAAAACTAGGGTTTGCATATCAGTTGAGCAGCATGTAAACAGATGTAGAGAGAGAGAGAGAGAGAGGGGGGAGAGGGTAGGACAGGTAGGGTTTAATATTTAAACAGACATAAAATAGCTGACTAAGAGAAGCGGCGGGATATGTAAAGAGTCTCAAAAGAAGAGCAGCAAATGCAAAACATGTACATGGGGATGGTACAAAAACAACAACATGCGTGTTGGTATTGGGGTTAAATTCGAGGAAGGAATGAATAAAACCCTGCAGTTTTTGTGTATAATGACACAAGTAATAGTGACTATTAGTTAATCTTTTCTAATTTTACACCACCCACAAATAAAATTTATATAGTGAGATCATATACATACAAATAAATAGAAAGAGAAAGAATTAATGCTGCAAAGCAAGCACATGACTGTCTGCGCTACCCTCATCATCATAATTCTAACACTTGTTTCTTGTGTGTGTGCAGTTCGAGGTGCATAGACGGCGAGAAGAAGGTTACAAAAACTGGAATATTTTTCTCGAAAAATTGCAACCCTTGAATTTGAAGGATTCATTAATATACATAATTTATGCAATTAGAATTAATTAGGTTGATTATATATAATAGTAGTAGGAGCAGTTAGAGAGAAGGGATTAGAGTAGAATCTAACCGTGACAGACACTTGCAAATAAACAAACAGGTAGGAAAAGGGAGAAGAGATCATCAGACCCATAAATCTCTGACAGGAGAGATTCCCACACTTGTTGCTTCCAACACTATACACGATAAAATGATGAATAACTTTTCCCAAATTTAATAAGGAGTTTCCTCTTCTTTTCTTTTTTTCCCTTTTGAATCGTTTCCCATTCTCTACATAGAAGGGAAGTGGGAAAATTCGCCTCTCTGCAGCCTTTTCTAGACATGGAAGATCGATCGCTCTCTCTCAGACCCACCTCCCCTTCAGTCCCCTTTTTTGACTACCATACATTTTGTTTATTATCTTCCCTTTATCTTTTCTCTCTCACGCACATTTTTGTTCCAATCCAAGTGGACAAATAGCTGTATGTTCACTTACTCTACCTAGCTCCTATACATTTCAATAATTATTTATTAATCCTCTCCTGCCTTATTGCTTCATTTCTTTTGCTCCAGGTTTATATTTCCCTTTTTTTTTTAGTGTCTTAAATATTGACACTTCTTGTCACTAACCCTTGTCCATAAGGCTTTTAACTTATGCGATGGTTTTATCTGCAAAACAAGCATATGTGTGCAGATAGTTTCCAGCTAGCTAACTAACCCTATCTTTGCTGTTTTGCTTCCTTTGAGTTCCACTATATATTTTTGTTGGTGCAATACTGAGTCATACTGAGTTTAAATTGACCAGTAACTGAAATTGGTGTATATATGCTAGGATTTTAACGTGTATATATTATTCAGGTTCCAACATACATGAGGATTGCACATGTATTGTGCCCATCGCATATCAATTATTTGATTAGGTTAGAGATATATGACAAAATGCAAATAAAGCTGATAAGCCACTGCTATCGGAACTCAACTTTTTTGGCACATATATACACTACACTATTTGATCTTGTACTGTTCAATCAGGTACATCTCAGGACACTATGGTACTTGCCTTCTTCAATTGCCCGCCAATGAAAGTGATAAGGGCCAAGGGAAAAGGTTAGGCTGGAACTGGCTTTGCCATTTCGATGCCAAAAGAAAAGAAGAAAAGAAGAAGGTGGTTTTATGGGAGAAAACAAATTATCTGCATATAAGTGATATATTAATATTAATTAATGAGCAGAATCTTTCATTCATTTTCTTTGATAGAAACTAATGAAGTCTCCACATTGCTTAACATCTACACATAACTTATGTATGTTTAATTTGTGAAGTTGCAATCAGTTATCTATCCAAAGAACTACTTAATAAATACTTACAAGATGTTGTATATGACTTGAATTTTATAGATCAATAATATATTTAGCCCATTAGATTTTTTTATATATATGTAATTATGAGGTATTTAAACCTCCTTATGTCTCTGTTTAAAAAATAAAGTGAAATATAGAGACTTTGTATTGAGCCTTCAAAGTTTTTGTATTCTCTAACTCGATAAAACTTCTCTCTTGTCCGTGGAGTAGACAATTTGTCGAATCACGTAAATCTTATGTATTGATAATTTATTTAGCTTTATCTTTTGATTATTATTTTCCATTACTTATCTTGTTTATGTTGTTTGCCATAACAAAATGGTATCGAGTGTAGGTTGCGCATCTTTGAGTTTTTTCTATTTATAATGGCAATTCTAAAATTTGATGTCACAGCTTTTGATGGTCAAAATAATTTTGGCTAATGGAGGATAAAGATGAAACTTTTGTTGTGACATGAAGGTTCGTCAAGGCAAATGAAGAGATATACCCGGATGACATGACTTCGTCAAAATTGAAGAGATGGATGAGAAGGCTCATAAGACTCTACAATTATTATTGTCAAACAAGGTACTATGAAAAGTCACGAGATGAAAAGATGACGACGAGACTCGTGAAAGAAGTTGAAAGACCTCTACATGAAAAAATCTCTTACAATAAGATTGTATTTGAAGCAACGCTTTTATACATTAGAGATGCGAGAAGGTATGCCTATTCAAGAACACCTTAATGAATTCAATAAGATTGTTATGAATATGAAAAATCTTGATAGTAAACATGATGAGGAAGATGAAACTCTTATTGTGTTGTGTTCATTATCTCGCTTCATATGAGAATTTTGTTAATTCAATGTTATATGGTAGAGAGTCTATAACTTTAAAGGATGTTAATGCCTATTTGAATTCTATTGAGTCGAGACATAAGTTGAATGTTAAAGCTAGTTGATAGTTAGACTC